ACTTCTGTCTAGTGCTAGGCGTCGGAATAAGACGAGAGTCAACATTACATATATTTTAAATTACTTGCAGATTTATAACTTTATTACCTCATTATGACTGTAACAAAAGATGTGTGCCGCACAGTGTGCGGCTGATGCTCCTTTGCACTGTAAAAAAATATTTTCAAGATTTGTTATCACAGCATTTTTTCTTTTATCAAATCAACTTCAATAATTTATTTAGTTGAGATAACTTATTATTTTGAGTTTCTGATGATTAAATTAATCTCCTTCATTGTATTAACTCACTTTTTTCAGTTCAATCAACTTAAAATTTTAAGGCAACCAGGTTACTTACTTTTTTAAGTTAAAACAACAATATTTTTTTACAGTGTGGTTATGAACAGCTCGTGAAAACATGCGTGTGTGTGTGTGTGTGTTCCATGAGTGCGCACACCTCTAGTTGCAGTTTCGCTTGTCACCAGTGGGGGCGTAGTTCTGCAACAACTCAGATACTTGTGCACAGATAAATATAAAAATTATTTGATTTCATGGTGACTTTGAAAACTAAAACTAAAATTAAATTACATTTTTTATTCACATTTTTACATTGTACACTGTAAAAAAAAATATTGTTGTTTTAACTTAAAAAAGTAAGAAACCTGGTTGCCTTAAAAGTTTAAGTTGATTGAACTGGAAAAAGTGAGTTAATACAATGTAGGAGATTAATTTAATCATCAGAAACTCAAAATAATTAGTTATCTGAACTAAATAAATTGTTTAAGTTGATTTGACAAAAGAAAAAATGTTGTGATAACAAATCTTGAAAATATTTTTTACAGTGTATACAAGTTCCTGCCACATTGCTAGAACATGCAGTTGCTAGCATTGTTACAAAGACATTGCTATCACTGCAGGATGAGCTGTGCACTAAAATGTTGGCGTTTTAAGAATTGAGCTGCTTATTTTGACAGACCGTCTGAAAAATGTGGTGTTCATTATGCTGAAAAAAAAGTATGTTGCCACTGTGAAAAAAAATGGCATTATCTCATTTCCTCTCAGAAAAAAATGGTGCTCTAGACTAGTTTTTCCAGTTTTTGTGAGGGTTCTTCTTATCTGCTGTGCTGACAGAAGGTCACCTGAACATCTGAGATATTTCTATATCTCAAACCATCACACGAGTCTGTTAACCTAAAGGCTAATTGCTCCTGCAGCCGAAAACAGTGACATCCGTGAGCTCGTCACATCTCTGAACGTCATCCATGACCTTTCAAAACAAGGAGAGAGGAAAGTGACACTCTTCCCATGAGCATGACAATAAAAGTAGGGAAAATGTTTACATATACTCTCCACTAACCTATTTTGCAAAATTATAGTACAAACACATATTTTAGTAAAAGAAACTTTGAAAAGTCAATCAAATATTTTACAATAACTTGTATTGGGAGACGTTTAGTTTGGCTTTTAAACCTGTGATTCTTTCAGGAATGAAAATACCATTTGGTCTCTTGATTTTAATATTGGAAAATGACAAGCAGATTTTAACGATGAGCGAATGTTTTTCCTGTAACGTCTACACAAAGACTCACTTACACCACAATCACTAATCTAAACTGTATGATCATTTGTACTCTTCCTGACAACCAGTGCCTAAAAAACACGACATTAATAATTTACTGTCCATTGCACTTCATGCTAATTGCCTTAAAATGCCAGGAGAATAAACCTAGGATACCCCAACATTATTTTAGCTTTATTTATTTCGCATTAACTAAGATTTTTAATTAGCGTTTATTTTATTTTCAGTGTTCATATATATACACAATAAAAAGGACAAAAGTATATATGATTTCTATTTCAGTTTTAGTTTTGGTCATTTTAGAAATTTCAAGGCAGCATTTCTAAAGTTTGTTTAAGTGTTTTAGTTGTTCATTAAATTTGCTTTATATATAATTTATTTTAACAACATATTATTACATATATTTTAACAAACAAAGGTTTAACAATAACCACACTTGTAAATTACATGTAAATTACAGATTGCTATTAATAAAATAGCTCAACGTTGAACTTTCCTTGTCATTTAAATAAATGAAATAGCATTTTCCTGGTTGTGATTGTGAAGACATTTACACGTACATGTAAGTCACTTAAATGCTATTGGTAAAGACAAGCTGCTATAGGATTCTGCAGAATGAAAGACTTGTTCTTCTAATTGGCTTTAGTAAATCAATACTCCCAGCCACTAGCATGGACACAAAACAAACAGCTGATTTCATGAACTAGAGGTCAATAGATACTACAGTGGTGCCTCGAGAACTGAACGATTTAAGGAGAGACGAGCCAGTGGCCCCATTTAAATGACTGTGTCCCTTCTATCTTATCTGAGGTGGAGGACCTTTATCCACACACAGATAAAGACACACACTCATCCAAACGGGTGGCGGTTAGGCCGCTAGTGCCTTTGTGTGGTTGAATGTTATCACTGTCACAGGGTGCCTGTAATTATCAAGCATTTAAAGGTTCCTGCAAACATGATGACTCCACTCTGGACACTTCCTGTATAGCATATCTGAGTGTGGATGTGCTTCACTTCTCTACTCCAGGGTGTTCTGTGCCGAATGAGTCACACTGCCTTCCTGGCTGCTGCCATTACTAATTACTTAGACTGCTGGGAAATGAAAACTGATAGAGGATGATGATGTAAATAAAAAGGTGGCAGAAGTGGACAAAATAATTGATCATGACACAACCTGTCTAGACAAATGGCCTCTTTATAGAAATTATTTGTCCAGTAAACAATATTTTTGTACGCAAAGCTACTATGTTTGTATACTATGACTATATTTTTAACAAAATAGTACAATTTTGTTTAAAAATATAGTCATAGTATACAGACATAGTCCATACAAATTGTCTAAATCATGCATAATATATTTTTGAATATATATTTTCAATTATTGATCATTTGATTATTTATTTATTTTAATTGTAGTATTATTATTATTAGGGAATTTGCAATAAATTAACGATCTGATCACTATAAATAGTAAATGTCAGTGGTAGTGTCTATTTTATGATCTCAGTTTGCAAGGTAGAAAATTTCTGAGAAGTAAAAAAAGCATGCCACCTGCTGGATTTTCATGGCAACTGTTGTTCATTATGTGGTCTAAAGTCCCCCTGTGGTAAACATCAAGATTTTAATGTTGTTTAAAAGTCTACAGTATGTGGTGTTTTTTAATATGCTTTAAGACAAACCATGAGCAAATTCATAAGTCAGCACCATTGCTGAGTATTTTCTCCTTAAAGGGATACTCCACTTTTTTTGGAAATAGGCTCATTTTACAACTCCCGCAGAGTTAAGCAGTTGTGTTTTACCGTTTTCGAATGAATTCAGACGATTTTCTGATTTTTAGAAGAATATCAGTAACCAGACCGTTTCTGGTCTCATTGACTACCATAGTATATATTTTTTTCCTACTATGGAAGTCAATGAGACCAGAAACTGTCTGGTTACAGATGTTCTTCTAAATATCAAAAAATCGGCTGAATTCATATGAAAACGGTAAAACACAACTGCTTAACTCTGGGGGAGTTGAAAAATGAGCCTATTTCCAAAAAAAAGTGGAGTATCCATTTAAAACAGTGAACCAAAGACAGTTTTAAAATCGTGGTTTAAAATCACTGGTGTTTCTGATGTCGCAAACTGCTTTGTAACCAATCACATGATCAACATGTGATCATCAAGGAGTGGATCTCTGAGCTGGTGTGAGTAAATGGAGGCTAATTTGCATATTCATAGAACCGTGTTTACTAAATACATAAACGAGTAGTTGATAACTAGCTTTCATTCAAATCATAATTAAAGGTACACTATGTAAATTTCAGCAGTCTAGCGGTTAATTAACAAAACTGTCTTGCGAAAGAAGATGTACATGAGTCAATATGCCTCACCACGCCGTTTACTGATAGATAGCTTTGAGTAACAATCTATTGCTGTCACTTTGGGTTTAAGCTTGTAGATAAAGAAGATTAAATTGTAGCATGGATCAGTCATTTTTTACAGGAACTGAACTGAAGCGGGGGAAACTATTTTAAGTGAAAAACAAGAGAAAAAATTGTGTCACACCTGTGTGAATCACCAGCAGCTTTCTTTCAGCTCCGAGCAAGATATAAGGAGTGCCGACATCAAACGGTACTGCTCAAGAATGCTGGCAGGAGATCCTTCAAGTGAATTTCCTGCAATATCTGTTGTTTTTCGGCGAAAAAAACACAGAGCCTCTTTCACGCAGGAGGGTATGATGGCTGGGTTTCTCTTTTTTCTTGTGTGTGTCTAAGGAAAGCAATAACCAGAAAGAAAGACAAACAGAGAAAACATGTCATTCCAAAAACTTTCGAAATAGGGCCGTGTTCCTCACATAAAGCTAAGTCAGAATATAGAGAAAGCGTATTTAAAGTATTACCTCACATTCATGCTTTCCAGAAGTGGGCGGGGCCTTTACAGCTCCTGCTTTGGATCCAAAAAAAAAAAAACACGCAGACAAAATGTCAGAAATTCTAAGTAGTGGTGCTCAGCCTTACTATTTCAAATCGGAGTCGGACAGTGATGAAGAGACTCGGGAAGAGGTTACAACTTTTAGAATGCAACTGGATGTTTCCGAATGGTTAGTGGATAAATGTATTTAGTTGTTATGGAGTTGATTCAACTCATCGACTACCATCACCTCGTTTGTAAAGCAGCAGGTTAGCAACTCTCTTCGGCACATTTCTCTCAGAAATTAAATTAAACCACGGTGTCCTCAGTGGATCAGTGCTGGGAGACTATGGAGACTCTTGCTCACCAATAGCGAAACATTTGTAATGTTTTATTTGTGGCTCAGACACTGTATATCTTCAGCAAGGAAACAAAAATGGCGGACTGCAGTGGTTCACTCATAGACAGTAAAACAAATGGACACAACGACCCCATTGATTTGAACGGAGAAGACTGAAGCCCGATTGTTGCACTTCTTGCCTGATGTCTGTGCGACTGTGCAGGCTCAAACTGAGCTTGATGACAGTCTGACAGTTGTAAATCTTCTAGTAGCTGTGCCAAGACAAATCTGAATCACCTAATTCCTCAAAAACATTGTTGAAATATTTTATCCCATTGCTTTTGTGGACTCTCTATCCATGGGTTTCTCCCTTGACTTTGGTTATGTCCATTGAGGGGCAGCATTGGTTATCAGCGTGAATTCCACTAAAAACACAGCTACAGAAAACTACAGAAAAGAGAAGCAAATGGATTGCTGCAATTCACAGAATCCCCTGAATCCAGCCAGCTAACGTGGATTTGCAGTATCTGTTTGTGTCAATGAATTTTGAGGTAAAATCATACCCTGCATTGTTTTTAAATAAACACAAACAAAAACTATACAAGTTTGAAAGCTGGACGATATGACGATAGGCTATATAACATTGAAGTGATCACCCAGATTTAGACCTACCTAGGCTATATTGTATTTAACGTTATATAAAGCGTTCAGAGGCAAGTTTGCTTTATGAATTTCCCCGGCGTCGAAATCAGGCACATATAAATGTCAGGAAACACAATTTCTGCCAGCATGTCAATATCCATGCATCACTGGATCTTTGGTAAGGAACACTATCAAGTCCAACCTTTATTGATAATCATTTGTTTTACTTGCATTTTCGCTATTTACCCAATTAAATCCAGTCAGGCTGCAGCTCTTTTGCCAGTTCAGTCCAGTAGCACCTCATTTCAGTACATGAGATCCAGGGGGCGGAATTTGATCCAGATCTGAGGGGTTAGTAGTTGGGTAGGTTTAGGGATCAGGGGGTGGGGCTGGGAAGGTTTAGGGGTGGGTTTAGGGATCTGGATCCAACTCCTCCCCGTGGATTTCATGTTCTGCAGTGAGGACCATCTCACTCAGATTAGCTGAGGGGGGTGTTCCGGTGGGAAGGTGTGACGTCAATGCATTGGGCATTACCATGGGCGGGGGTTCTGGAATCTCTAGTTTGAAGACTGTTTATGATTTGGGGATTATAAAAGAAGGAGTGGGCAGATTTCTACCATTATAGGCTGGTTGTTTACATGCACTGTGGACACATATGATATATCTATGTTTAAACACCTAAAGTGATTTTTTTCTTTTTGCATAATAGGTCCCCTTTAAGAAAGGAAGGAAAAGAGAAAAGAAGCGTTTGAGGGGGCGTGGCACTGTTTGTCTCAGCAAAACATGCATAGCCTACAACATACGCAGCACATTTAAATAAATAAATAAATAAATAATTATTTAAGTTCAAAGAAAGCCAGATATTGATTGAAGAAAGGCATGCATGCACACACAAAAGCCACGCAATATAGCCTCAAAACAAAAGCAAATTCATGCTGACACTCACACATACTGTGCACAAACGCTTTGATTTATTAACTCATGCCTCCTTTAAGCCTCTGGCACAGGTTGATGCAGTCCACAGGAGGAGCAAACACTGCCACAAGTGCATCTCTGGTGAAAACAAAACTGTTGTGTTTTTAGTGATCTTATTCCTTAAACATGCCGCGCAGAAAGAGAACTCATGGTCGTAAGAAAAATGACAAGGTATGTTTTTTTTCTTCTCCACACAATTTACACTGCCTCTGTTCTATAACGTTAAACGAAAGTTAAAATGTGCGCATTGGGTTACGTACCTTTCTTGGTGTAGCTTAATCTAATATAATCAGACTGATTTAGCCATGTTAAATACATATTAATAAATTTTTTTTTGACCTGAAGTTAAATTGTTTAGGTTTGGGAACTGCTCTTCTTCTTAACAGATTACCCTTTAAAAACATTAAAAATATATATTTCTAGGTTTATTAATCGATCTCCAGCGTGCATTCACCAACAACCGAACTACTGTTTGATTAATTGCTATTCTGTTTACACTTTTCTACAGCACTAAAAAAATAAATACAGCTGCGCAGACCGATTTCAGAACGGATGACGAACGATTTAAGGAGGAGCGGTTCTCTTTAGTGAATCAATTAATTCAGCGTAACGTAACCAATGTAATCTGACTCCGAACAAATGATTCCTATGAGCCGATTCTTTTAGTGCATCAAAACAGAGGGTCCTATGCTGCCTCCGCTGCATTCCAATTGCCACTGTCTCATGGTACCGTTTGGTCGATTTTTGAAGACAGAATAGATGTATGCTTTGCTCATTTCGTTGCCTTTGATATTCCGCTATCCTGTGCTTTCCATTATTGTGTGAGAGACAGTTGAGTTAAAAAAAAAAATATATGAAAGTTGCGGTTAGTGGTCAAGTTGCGTGTAAAAATGTAGCCTAGCCTACATTTTTGACCTTTTCCACGTTTGATGTAATTTATAGCGAGACATGTACCGATGACATTTTTGCTATTCGTTACCCTGACGTTACCCCGAAATCAGTTTGGTGAGGTAAGTTAACTTAACGTTACCTTCGTGAGCACCAGTCAGGCAGCAGCAAAATAAAAGACGACCGCTAAAAAGTAAATATGTAATATGTTCGAACTAACGTTGAATTCGCCATGTTATCATTATCACGTGACCAACCAGCCTGAGTTGCATGCTTCACGGCCATTCACAAATCCTCTCCCAATAAAACAAAAACAAATCGGCTCTGTCCCAATATCCACACTACGCCCTAAGGTCTTCCTCGAAGTGGACACTTGTTGAAAGTGCACTTAGCGGAGTAATAGCCTAGTCTAGATGGGATGTACCTAAAAAGTGAAAGGAGCATTTATGGGTACAAGTCGGAACCGGCCTACCTTACATAGCCCATTTCAAGGGTGCTGAGTCAAAAAAAATAAAAATAAATAAATGGTTCCCAAGCGAAATTTAGAGTTTTTTACCTTCTAATTTGCATATCAAAATGGTTGGCAAATTGCCTATCTTGCTCAGTCGTTGGACCATTTTCTCCTAGTTTTTTTGTAGGCAATCAAGATGAGGAAATTAAGTTTCTAGATAGATCAACGGTCAAATATATATTGGAGGCTCACTGCCTTTTTTATGTAAATAGCTATATTTGCAAAATACTTTATACTTTACAATACTTTACAAAATACAAAAAACTTTTAAGGTGAGACACTAGGTGAATAGGGTAAACATTTTGAATAATAGATATCACCATGAAACTTCCTCAGTTGATTACTTACACAAGTATATAAAAAAATGTATTATAAGTTTTTGAAATTTGTATTTTTAATTATGCAAATTAGGCATTATCTCATTAAACATGCACAATTTTGCATATATTTTCGGTAGATAGAGCTGAACATGTGATAAAGCCAGGTGCAACATTTTTCATTTTGTTTACACAAGATGAAAAAAAAGTTCAGAGGTATTTCAGGATATATGCTTTTACTACCTAGGGAATTTAAATATACTGTCAATACCCTTAAAAAACTGATTTTCACCATATTTGTTTGATTAAAATGTCCCATATCTTCAGAATAAAGTTAAGTGTATAATTGAAAAGTTTGTTACAGGCTCTGGGGGCACAAGGGCGAAAGTGCTATTGTGGATATTGGGACATCCTCCCCCGTGGCCTCATGGGATAGTAAAGTATCCATCTTATGCTCACTTTAAGAAGTAGGCAAAGTCATCCAGATACTTTTTGCCTACTGTTTTATGAGCACTATGAATTTCGGACATACTTTGGTTTTTCACCTACGATACAGTATGCAATTTCGGAAGTATGCGACCATTGAACGCTCTGATTCTCATCTCTGACTCATTTGTACAACAAAGTTGGCTAAGCACGGTCAAATGTGTTTTTGAGAGCACTTTGTTTTTAAAAACATAAAATTGCATGAACTCAGAATGAACTTGAAATTAAAAACTTCAAATAGAGCCCGATACGTTTTCTGGTCTGCGTCGACTCGCATATGATCCGCTCTGTGCTATCGTTTCTCTGTATGTGATTTCTGATGTGAAATCAGACTTCATTCACCCTAATGATGGAAAGCATATTAACACTGTCTGAATTGTTCCCTATCCCCTAGGCTAATGCACTATGTGCCGTTCATTCACCATGTAGAAAATAATAATGTTGAACAAGTGACCGATTTCAGCTGCTATTTAGACTCTAGAGAGCATAAAATCTGATGAGAAGAAGAGAAGAGTGATGTCATCAAAATCATCCACATTGGCAGAAGTGAGAGACTTTAAGTTTTAGATGCTTTATCTTCTAAATGCAAAATTTGTCTTTATTTTGGAGCACACTTGGAGCTTAGATAACAACCAAAAACCTTCCATTTTGATTTCATGGGGACTTTAAGCAATTATTTGTGTCTAACCAGAGTTGCACAATAGAAAGGAATGCTTGTTCTTAGACTATCTGCATTTTTTTTAAATGAGCTATGCAAATTAAGCTTAAACTTTCACTTCGAATAAAATGCAAAAGATTACACCACATCTTGAAACGAAGTAAAACCGCCCCCGTTCATTATTTGCTGTAATTATCAGTATGTTCTGGTACCCACAAACATTC